CGATGTTTTAAAAATAAAACTTATTCTCTGGTGTGTTCTATGAAGACCCAATATCCACAGACAAATAAAATCTCCAGACTGTTCTCCATGTACATCTTTAAAGAATTAGAACAGAGAATTTGACAAAAGATCAACTTATGGTGACATTTTATTAATTGTTATAACCTTTTCTCTTGGTTACGTATTGATATTGTGGATCATTATACGCTTCTAGGAAACTGCCCACCTACCCCTCCCCTAAGCCAACATTTTGCCCTAAGTGAGAAGTACGTGTTAATGTTGACTTAGGGGAGGGGCAGGTGGATAGTTTATATATATTGTTAGGAGAAAATTAATATTGGTCACTCTTGGGACTTACGGGTTAAAAGGAGTTCTTGATGATGACTGAGTGCGGTTATCAAATCGTTCAAAGCTGCTAAAATTAAGCACCGGTCGGGAACTGTTCTTTAACAAGAGTGCTTGGCCAAAACGAAACATTTTTGTGTGTGACGAGAATTTTTCACACTTTCCTTTATACAAATAAATATTTACTTACTATAACGGCGTCGAGCAACTTTTGCTCCTTCAGAAACAATGTAGCTTCGGATATGAGTTGCTCTGGGTAACGCAGACCTACCAGCCGCTGACCGTTATCTAGCTCAACGCGGACTACTCTCAGAGATCGACTTTCCTTGCTGCAACAAAAAGGAAAAAGAAATACTGCTCGGCGACAAGAAGCAAACACAATGACACGACCAAAACTGACGCCTCGGGAACCGAAGTCGCCAGACGGATACAATGTCAACCGCTAAAACATACTGTGAATACATTGTGCGACCATTCAGATATAACCTTTTTAGCAGTACTTTGGCTTTTAGAGCGATTCATGCTTTTGATAGTCAGTTCTTTTGGAAGCGAAGGGGTGAAGAGTTATTTACCTGAGACCAATTTTATCAGCATTTTTAGCCATGGCCATCTCCAACGCAGACAACAGAGGAATAATTCCACCACACAATAAATGGATCTGAGTAATGCGACAGCCGGCTGACAAACAAACAAAAACGGGATCTCGTTGAATTATTTACAGCTTCTGGGTCCCTCCCAGCCCACCTTAACTCTCGTTTTTCCCTAACGAATGGCTTTAGGAAAGAAACATGGGTTAGGGGTGGGGAGGTTGGGAGTTTTTCCAGAAACGGTGATCGATCCAATGGTTAGCCATTTTTCTCATGGTTGCCATTTGACTTCATGTAAATATATGTGAAATATCACTCTTGACCATAGAGTGGCCAGTCCAATTGCACTATGGGACTGTTTTGCGAGAGAAATCTTAACCCAGTTTCTTGCGCAACCTCGTAACAACCAATGAATGAAGCCGTAGCGTCCCAAAAGGGATCAAAGTGCTCTCGACATACCAATAACCTGAACCTGACGCGCAACCTCAAAATGGCCAATACCAAGTAACCATACAAGGTATTGATATTGGAATGCTATTATGCTGTCTTTTCTTTCTAATGAACAGGTCAGGATAGGACGGAATGGAATGGAATGGAATGGGATGGGATAGGATAGGATGGGATAGGATGGGCTGGGATGGGATGCGATAAAGAAAGATAGCATGACCATATCTTAATCATGGACTGCATTACCCATCAACGTTACGTATTTTTTTAAAGCTGGCCACTAACAAGTTGATAACTTTTCATTGTATCGTGCTCACTGTAAATTTAAAAAATTCGTTTTATTCCAACTGAATGTCATCATTGTATCGCGCTTTAGGTGTCCCCTATTAGATGAGGGTTTTAACTCTACTAGATATTGTATTGACACGTTCGTAAAGTTTATTCGTTCATTCATTAACCAACTGTCGGAGTTATTCTGTTAAAGACGGATTAAATCATTTTGTCGAGTCACTTCCTCGTGGTCTCTTAAGGAGACTTCTAAGATATACACCACTGTAATAAAGTTTTCACTCACTTTTACAAGAAGGTCCAGTCTTGCAGCCTAATCCGTGAATACAGTGATCTCTGGTTCTTTCATACTGTGCTTTCCATCCAGCTTCTAATGAATCAAAAGCATACAACAGTATTTAGTTCCTGACCAATCAAAGTACCTGACATTTTACGAGTTCTACTTATCGTGTAACCTGTGAAACGATTAGCAAAACATGAAGTTACAACAAAAGAATTTTTTTTATTTACTGGCTTTCATTTCAAAAGCTCTGCAGCAACAACGATGACGGCAGCGAGAACGTTAAAAAATTCCTTTTATGAACAAAACAATAGCTCTGCAGGTACACCACGCTTTTTAGTACATTTCTTTAACGTCCACTGCACGACGACGTGAAACCCCCTAACGCGACATTTTATGGCGGACGAGACGACGACGAATTTTTATTTCTCTTTTTGAAGATAACTACAGTTTTAAAGAATTTAGCTCCAGGTATATTCGCCTACGTTTTACAAATTAGGACGGGCTGGCATCCGTGCAGAGCACTAGATTTCAAACAAATCACAGTAAAACACGCGGTCAGCACTTCTGATTTCACACGGCTTCCTGGTGGTAAATACAATAGGTAACCTGACTAGGCCCGTCTCCCTTACCTGCATCTTCCAGTGAAATCCTGTTGTACTTGTGCAGAAGATCAGATTTTTCTTCTTCAAAAGGAGACCTTCCTGTGTTTGGTCTGCACAAAAACAAAACGAAGTAAAAGCGGAAATTATCTTTGGGTAGAAATTCCACAACGGTAATATGTCGCTTATAAGCCCTGGGTTTATACATTTTCTTTAGGGGTTTTAAGAGAGCTAATAAAAGGAGGGGTTTATAACCAAAATAGAAAAGGCGCTTCGAAACATTCTATAGCAGTGCTGAACAATA